GTTACTTGTTTAAGTAAGGTGTAAACAATAAGACTTCTACACTGTTACTTGTTTAAGTAAGGTGTAAACAATAAGACTTCTACACTGTTACTTGTTTAAGTAAGGTGTAAACAATAAGACCTCTACACCGTTACGTGTTTGAGTAAGGTGTAAACAATAAGCCTTCAAGGATTTCGTTATGTTGTGTAATAATTGAAATAGGAAGGAATAACATTTTTATACGGTGTGTGTTATTCATTTTTCGGCATACGTTTTTTGGGCCAACCTGTACTTTAAAGTGCATGTTAATGAAAATAAAAATGTATAAACAAAATAGCATAAGTAATAAAAAAAGCCATCAAAAATGAGAACTTGATAAATAGCGTAAGTCGTTTAACTTTATTTAATGACCTGTTTGCTACGTGGATATACAGCACGTTTTTTTAAACTTTTGTTTGATATATTATATATGCCAAGAAGTTTTGTGATTAATCAGCATTTACTTTTCAACTATTAATGTTGATCATTAAGTGTTCCTTAATTTTTATAAAACTGTGGATTGACGAACATGCATATCCTTTCACTATTAAACGTCATACTAACTAAAAGCAAGTTACCACACACACACACAAAAACATACTACATTACGTAGAGTATAAAGAGAGCCTCTCTAAAAAAACGGCCCCCCAGTAGCACAGCGGTATGTTTACGGACTTACAACGCTAGAAACCGGGTTTCAATACCCGTGGTGGGCAGAGCACAGATAGCCCATAGTGTAGCTTTGTGCTTAACTTCAAAACAACAACCTAAAAAAAACTTTTACCTTTCATTTTTCTATTCGCATACGGATTTCAAAGCTTGTCAGATGAAAGATGTTGAAGATAACTTGATGAGGAAGAAACTTTTTCTCGAGAGGAAATTCATGCTCTTGGAAATGAAATATACAAAAATTTCCTTTCCTATTTTAAAATTTAATGATTAACTAACTAAGGAAATACAAACATGCAGTTTTCAACATGTTGTAGCCAAACTCAAACAGTTGTTATTAACATGCCAGTAGATTTCTACGTGTACACCATCAGTGGCTCTCGATTTCAGTCCAGGTTCGCTGCAATATGTCCACAATTACAGTGGCGATGGCGTCCGTTATCCTGATCTTTAGCTTCGTGATGTTTTTTTAAATGTGTGCGATACACGATACCCTTAACATACCTCCACACCTCTTTATTGTACTGACGTTTGTAATTACCATGAACCACAGTCACTGACTTGGTATCCACAAGTCAAACGAAGCATTGAGCCTTTTCCTGTACGGTTGCCATTTTACTGGATAACACTACTCATTGGAATGAAAACAACATAACAATAAAACTTATTTCAGTTGGGCTACAAGATGTTGAAAACTACATGGTTGTACTTTCTTAGTTACTTAATAATTAAATTTTATAATAGAAAAGATAATTTTGGGGCATCCTGTATTTAACCAACGGAAAAGAGGTTTTATCTTGTTATGTTTTTATTTTTTTTGCAATGCTTCTTACACATAGTCATCCCTGATTTTGAAACGATAGACTAGAGGGAAAACATAAAAGTCAGTAGCACCCACCGCCAACTCTTGGGAATACTCTTGTCAAATCAAATGATAGGATTTGACCGTCGCTCTTATAACGCATCCACGGCTCTAACGTGCACAGAGCATTTTCGAGACAAGTCGCGAACAATGAATCATGAAATTCACAGTCCGGGCAGACTAACTACTAGAACATGCCCGGCTCCAAGAGGTCTGAAAGAGCAATAACCAATCATATTACTCCAAAATTGAGTCACAAAGTAGTAATTGCATGAGATGCTATTTCCATAACTGATAACACAGGCCTGCGAAATTAAACTTTAAGAAAGTTGTTTTGGTTTTAATAACGGATTTTCCATAATTTAACTACGCAGATTTCGAAAATAATATTCTTTTTTTTCTATCACGTGAGGATTTTTTATAAATCGGGAAGAAGAAAAAAAAAACTCTTACTTAGATCAAATTATTATTTCGTTTACCACAATGAACATATTTTATTATTATATTTGTTAACAAAAATACAAACAAACTGAAGAAAAGGGAAGAACATTGATGTCAAACGAATATGCATCCTCATTCATTCTGTTTTGTGTGTGTATGTGTGAAATCTGCGTCTTATAGTCTCAAAACGGCGTGTTGTGGTCTTTCTTTTATGTATCACGTTATGACGTTTAATGAAAAACCCGTACGTGATGGAGAAAAATGGATATAATTTTCGGATTCAGCATACAGGAATTACTGTAGAACATGTAAAAATTTCAAGACAATAGAACCATCGCAGGCCTGTGTTATTTCTATCTTATGCTTTGTTAATGTTTTTCTACACTCAAAATAATCTGTATAAATCACAGAATATTAGGTGACAGCTAAGAAATTTGTGAACGACGTTTCGTTGGTTAGACCACATAAAATAATGCTAAGCAAAATAAAATATGTATGTTTTATTTTTTGGAACGCTTTGGCCTTAGGGAACCAACTGCTCTGGTAGAATAGGTCTTATATTTATTGAAGATGTTATACTTTTGACAATAACTACGTGTACCAACAAACATCTCCCAGACACAAAAAAGATACGAACAGTGAATAGATAAAGCTGTTTTGCATAAATTAAGATAAGTGTGTTGAAAATGTAGGAATGTCAGAGCAGCTTATGAAATTTGATGCACGATATATTGATCATTAACAAGTGAATAAAACTATGAAGAGCAATGGATCCTTAAACAAGAGATTTTTTTTTTTTTTAAAGAGTTTGAAAAGAGTTATTTTCAGAGTTTCAACTAGCGTTTTAATTTTCTGGAGGAAACTAAAAAAAAATATATATATACCATTTGTGTGAATTCAGTAAAAATTTTAAAGCTTATATTTTATTCCAATTCTTTGTCTTTTTTTTTTTTGGAAAATATGCAAATCCCATTTGACCACGTGATCTTCTGTTACACAAACACACACAAACAAACACAAATAAGTGATCTTCTGTTACACAAACGCATACAGACAAACACAAACAAGTGATTTTATGTTACACAAACAAATACAGACAAACAAAAGTAAGTGATCTTTTGTTACATAAACACATAAAGACAAACACAAATAAGCGATCTTCTGTTATACAAGCCCATACAGACAAACACAAAAAAGCGATCTTCTGTTATATAAGCCCATACAGACAAATATAAACACGGAAACAAATGATTTTCTGTTTGTTTGTTTGTAGTTATGCACAAAGCTATACAATGGGCTATTTGGGCTCTGCCCACCACTGGTATCGAAACCCGGATTTTAGCGTTGTAAGTCCGCAGACATACCGCTGTGCCACTGGGGGGGGGGGGCTTGAATTTATACAGTAGTTACACACGTTAACACAAATATTTTACACAATTTTTATCGGGCAACATTAATTCAATATTAAACTTCTCGTAGCTGTACATCTCTCAGACTCAGCAAACTGCATGTGATTTAGCGGGTACTAGTGTTTTTCAGGTTAACAGCTGAATACAAAGAAAACTCAGTGGCGGACGCAGAATGGGGTTCGAGCGGTTCGTCGAATTCCCCTAGAGAATTTATTACGTCACATAATTGTTTAAAAGTAAGGGATATATAATTATTCTGACGTTTAGAACGGTGTTCTACACTTTTAGATACCCACTTGAATCGTAAGTCAGTCACTTCCGGCCACGTGTTTCCTGTATTCAAAGTTATAGTAAAGCACACTCTAACTTGTAGAGCAAGAGAAACTAGGCTATTCTACACGTGGTGTATCTGATTTTGTGAATATGATGAGGTGGTACTGGTTGAGGGGGACGCATGAAGGTTTCACTTTATGTGTCTAAAGGAGAGAAGGGGGTGTACTGTATTTTGGGTTGAAGACAATTTTCTGTAGTTCACAGATGAACGCTTCTAGAACCTAAGTTAATCAAAAATCCTGAATCTGTTACCAGGAAAAAAACAAACAAAAGCACAATATATTTGGAGTGTACTTCACTGCAATACCTCACTGGAACGATTCTTTTTAAACAGTGATAAGCTTTTTTCATAACCTTAAGCAACTGATTATTTATTACTTATTTTGTCAATTTTTAAGCTTCTTCCTCTCAGAGTGACGTGACGCAAGGTATCGACTGTGTACTTACACTACTTTTGTTGCTTTTACGACGCATGCGCCACAAGTGACAGATTAAAGGTTACATAAAGTCCCTCTACACGCTTTCATTCCTCAAGTGTCGCTGATGATGTCGACAGGAAAGCCGCCCAACAATAAGGGAAAAATTCTAGCAGGGAAACTTATATAAGTTAATCGAAAAGCTGATTGAAAGTTATAATCCATTAGATTAGAAAACGACTATTACTGTACACGAGAAGATGTTTGTCTGAAGGAAGTGAGCACTTATCAAGAATCTAGAACACTTTTTGTTTGTCTGAAGGAAGTGACCACTCTTCAAGAATCTAGAACACTTTTTGTTTGTCAGAAGGAAGTGACCACTTATCAAGAATCTAGAACACTTTTTGTTTGTCTGAAGGAAGTGACCACTTATCAAGAATCTAGAACACTTTTTGTTTGTCTGAAGGAAGTGACCACTTATCAAGAATCTAGAACACTTTTTGTCTGTCTTCAAGAAGTGACCATTTATCAAGAATTTAGAGCAATTTTTGTTTGTCTTCAAGAAGTGACCACTTATCAAGAATCTAGAACACTTTTTGTTTGTCTGAAGGAAGTGACCACTTATCGAGAATCTAAAACACTTTTTGAGTAATATTGTAGTTTGTACTGTTTCCTTTGTATAAATGTTCCACTTGTGTAATATCGTTGTTTGTACTGTTTCCTGTGTTTAAATGTTCCGCTTGTGTAATATCGTTGTTTGTACTGTTTCCTGTGTTTAAATGTTCCACTTGTGTAATATCGTTGTTTGTACTGTTTCCTTTGTTTAAATGTTCCACTTGTGTAATATCGTTGTTTGTACTGTTTCCTTTGTTTAAATGTTCCACTTGTGTAATATCGTTGTTTGTACTGTTTCCTTTGTTTAAATGTTCCACTTGTGTAATATCGTTGTTTGTACTGTTTCCTTTGTTTAGATGTGAATAGCAGAAGACTTTTTCAATGGTCTTAAAATTTCCATTGAAAAGCGCATTACGAATTCTTGTTTGATCAATCGTTCACCCTTTGAAACCTAACATTTCGGTCTTTAAATAAGGTATTTTCAAACCTTCTAATGTGTAGTGTGCTTGTAAGCATGAGTTTTAAAAGGAAATATATTTAGAACATTTTTCAACGTGTTTCCTTAAAGTGACATATCTCATCAGAAGACAAAAGAATTTAGAAAGATTCTCTATTTGTTTGAAATTCGGTTCTTATAAACTAATTGGTGAGTTAGAGACAAATTGTTCCTGCTTACAAAGTAATACCATGTGGTACCTTTTAAAACCTGAAACTAAAAGTGCTCTCTCTCTCTCTCATTTTCTCTGCAACTATTCAAAAGCTCGTATCTTTTGATGGTTAAACCATGCGATTGTCTTCCAACTATTCAAATGAACAAACCGTGCCCAATTCGCGCCTCCCGGATCTACTTTTTTAATAGGAAATAATTGAATCAACTTTTTTTTTGGAGGTAATGCATTTTTCGAATCTTCAAAGTCTGATCGATCATTCCGAAAAGATGCCATTATAGATTGAGATGTAACAGAAACTTGTTTCATCTTGTTCTATGATGCAAATCTGTAATATCAAGGCAGAGTAAGTATATCAAATCTGTAATATCAAGGCAGAGTAAGTATATCAAATAATGGGTGGATAGAAATTAACTTTGTTTTCAGGAGAAAAAAAATCATTAATTTTAGGTTTTGAAAAGAAACGGTTGAAAATTTAGATAACTTTACTAATAATTATCTTTGACTTATAGCTATTTTGTCCTAATTATCAAACATCATACAGAAACAGACTAGAAGTTCCGTTTCGTCAGATTGACTCTTAACTTTAATATAATAACAAGGAAGACAAGCTTGCAAGATGAATCAGACATTTGAACGGATGAACGATACGTGGCGCGGATTTGGGAGCGAGGATGGTTCATCAGGACCAATTTCCAATTTAGAACTGTTATCCACTGGTGTTGGTATTACTGCTTTGAGTATCCTGGGTATAACAGGAAATGTTATCTCACTTTTTGTATTATCTCGACCTCAGATGCACTCCTCCATCAATTGCAGTCTCCAAGGTTTGGCCATCTTCGATACGGGAGTTTTAATGTGTGCTTTAATCATGCTAGGCTTAACAACCCTGGGGAAAATAGTATACTGGCTACATTTTTACACGTGGATCATCTTTCCGTTTATCGTGCCCGTGATTTATCCATTAGCTTTGATTGCTCAAACAGGATCGGTGTGGATGACGGTCGTCGTCACCATAGAAAGGTACGTAGCAGTTTGCCATCCTCTTCACGCTAGGTCATTGTTTACGTACAAGCGCTCGAGGGTGTACAATCTTCTCGTGACTGGAGTAGCAGTTTGCTACAATATTCCTCGGTTTTGGGAAATTCAAAGGATCGAAGTTTGGGATTCCTTCACTAATTCCACAGCGTATGACATCCAACCTTCGGAATTCCGTAAAAACAAAGTCTACTTCGAAATCTATTATATTTGGATGTACTTGTTAATTATGTATTTTCTTCCGTTTCTTACCCTGGCTGTTCTTAACACATTCATTTGGCGTTCTGTCAAACAGGCGAACAGAGATCGTCAGAAACTTAGTCTCAGGCAGCGAAAAGAGATCAGTCTAGCCACCATGTTGCTATGTGTCGTGGTGATATTCCTAATATGTAACATCACCGCTCTTATAGTTAATATTCTGGAATACTTTGACGTGAACTGGGGCTCTTTGGCGCTTTTTTCTAATCTGCTGGTGACATTCAATTCTTCAGTTAACTTCATAATTTATTATATTTTCGGACACAAGTTCAAACAGACGCTATTTTTATTATTCTGCAAAAAAAAGCTACGTCGGACTCAGACTTCCACTTCCGGTACAAATCGAAGTGTTTGGATAAGATTTCAGTCCACCAGGTGTCGCCAGCCACATCTTCAAGACACTAATTCGAAAAAAAGAACAGCGAGTGTAAACCTCTAACATAATGAGAACTAACAAAATCATCACGATGTTTGTTTCGAACTGAAAATTCTTCTAAGTGGCGGGAATGTTTAGGTGTTTTCTTTGAAAAATGAATACCACCATCACGGAGTGAAATGTTTAACACATGTATGACTTTGTGACAATCAATAAGAACAGTCCTGACAATGTTAGCGCTAGTTTGTTTATATAATAATATGATGAAGACTTAAAAAACTGAAAATACCCTAATCTATATTCAAGAAAACATAAATGATATATATGTATATATATAATCAAACGTTTAGAACAATGTAATACTAGTGTATTAAAAACTTTATGAATTATTGATGTAATTTTTATTTATTTATTTGCAACTTGTCAAAGTTATCTATCAAGAACTACTCTAAAGTATTGTGTTAATCGTTTTAGTTAATAATAATGTGAAAAATAAGCAAGACGATTATCTGTTGTTAAAATGAACTACAATAACAACAATAAGATTATCTGTTGTTAAAATGAACTACAATAACAACAATAAGATTATCTGTTGTTAAAATGAACTACAATAACAACAATAAGATTATCTGTTGTTAAAAATGAACTACAATAACAACAATAAGATTATCTGCTGTTAAAAATGAACTACAATAACAACAATAAGACTATCTGTTGTTAAAAATGAACTACAATAACAACAATAAGATTATCTGTTGTTAAAAATGAACTACAATAACAACAATAAGATTATCTATTGTTAACAATTTACTACAACAATAACATTAAGATCATCTATTGTTAACAATTAACTACAGCAATAACAATAAGATTATCTATTGTTAACAATTAACTACAACAATAACAATAAGATCATCTATTATTAAAAATGAACTGCAATAACAACAATAATATTAACTATTGTTAACAATTAACTACAACAATAACATTAAGATCACCTATTGTTAACAATTTACTACAACAATAACATTAAGATCATCTATTGTTAACAATTAACTACAGCAATAACAATAAGATTATCTATTGTTAACAATTAACTACAACAATAACAATAAGATCATCTATTATTAAAAATGAACTGCAATAACAACAATAATATTAACTATTGTTAACAATTAACTAGAACAATAACATTAAGAGTTTTATGTATCTCGATTTCTTGTGATTCATTTTATGACATTGCGTTTTCCTAGTTAAGAGAAGTGTATAAGATTAGCTACATTATTTACTAAGTTATGTTTTCGTTCTGTTCATGTGCTTAGCTGGTTTTGATTAGAAGTTGTATATAAACAATTAACACTCACGGTAGGCATACAGGGTCAGTTTTAAAGTTGTGAGTTTAATAAATTGTTTAGACTGTGTTTGTGAATGTTGTGCTGTGTATATTAATAAAGTTATGAAATTCCATCAAAATGTTTATGTGAGGGTTCTAGTGGACTTTCTATTCCAGCATCTTAATGACATAATACACACGTGATCAAAGATTAACATGGATTTTCAGTTTGTGTTAAGTGAAAAAAAAAAAAAAGACGCCACATACAACTAAATCTCAGGTTTTGTTTGTTTGTAGTTATTGGGCTATCTGTGCTGTGCCCACCACCAGGGGTATAGTGTTGCTGGTTTGTTTGTTTGTAGTTAAGCACAAAACTGCATAATGGGCTATCTATGATATGTCCGCCACCAGGGGTATAGTGTTGTTGGAGTGTACAGGAACATTAGAGCTGTGTGTGTGTGTTTATGTATTTTCTTATAGCAAAGCTATCTGCTGTGTCCACCGAGAGGAATCGAACCCCTGATTTTAGCATTGTAAATCCGAAGACTTACCGTTGTCCCACCGGGAGACCATGAGAGCTGAGTTCTGACACTTCAAAAATGAAAAGTATGTATATTAAAAAAACGTTATTTGGTTTACTCCTGAAATTGAATGTCTTTTATAACCAAACACTTAATCAGAGGTCGCTGTTTTTAGCTATTCGTGGTGGTAAGATAGAAAGTTTGGAAGGCATTATAATAATCAAGGTTGTTAATATTATAGTGGTGTTAGTAAGATGGTCAATTAATAAGGTATGCGACTTTAAAACTTGTGTTAATGTCAGTTATTTTTATTTGGTACAGAGTTGTTGTTTATTTTTTGTCTTGCTGTTTAATTCAACAGAAGTTCAGTTATCTGTTTTCTCTCCCTACCATATGCTTATTCAATTTAGTTTTAATATAAGCAGTCTCAAGTTATTAGTGTTGAATATATTTTCCTTATTCAAAAATGGACTCAAAAAATTTTAAATTTAGCACTGTACGACTGCATACCATAGGTATCGAAACCCGGTTTTTAGCGTTATAACTCCGCGGACTTACCGCTGTGCCACCGGGGGCTCGAGGGGGTGAGGACAAATACCAGGTAATATAAGAACTAGGTGCTTTCCCAAGATTCACACTCTAGATCAGTGGTTCCCAACCTTTTCTCCACCAAGGACCCATTTTATTATCATTTTTTCCCCCACGGTCCCCCATGTTTTTGAAAGATTCCGCCTACCCAACAAACTGTTTTTAGTAACTAATAATTAACTCGTTCTCCCACTTTTCGCTATAACATAAAAGACTTATATAACTGAGTGTGCAATTAAAAAAACCCATCAGTATTAAAAATCTTACTTGTTTAATGAGAGGGTATTCCCTACGCGGACCCCCAGGGGTCCGGGGACCCCAGGATGGGAACCACTGCTCTAGATAATCATATTGACAGTTTTTTCAAGTTAAACATAAAGATACACAATGAGCCGTCTGTGCTGTGTCCACCACGAGTATCGAAAACCGGTTTCTTAGTGCTATAAGTTCACAGACATGCCGCTGGGCCTGG